CAATTTTTCAAGGACCTTTCGCCGAAAATCTCTGCAACTGGATTATTCCACATCAATAAACGTTTCTTACTCAGCTTCATCGCAGCTGTTACCACTTATATGATAATATTCGTTCAATTCAGACAAATCATGCATTGAAGTAACTGAAATTTTGTACCATGACTCACAAACTTGTTACTCACTCACAGGTAGCAAGATTACCTTTGGGCAGGGACGGGCCATTATGGGTGGGTAGAAGGTTCACCCCCCCCCCCCTTCTAATCCTAGGCGAAGTTGGCTAGTTGAGTTTTTCATAGTGAATATTTTTGTTTTTTCTGACTCCAAACTAGAGATTTCCAACTTCAAACTTAGAATTTCCTATTTCAAAAATATGAAATTTCGATTTTGTAGTCGGAATTTCCAAGTTTAATCATGTAAGGAAATCACATTTCAAGTTCAAACTATAGGAACTTCCAACTACAAACTCAAACATTCCGACTAATGAGTAGAGAATTTGAGGCCAGATTCAAAATGCTCGTAATTGAAAAAATCAAATTTCGAATTTAGGGTTGAAAATATCAAATTTCAATTCGAAATATGAAATTTCCAGTTACAGATGTTCTTAATACTCCGAATTTTCGACTCGCAGCTCATATAAACTGAATTTTTTTGTATCCCATCAGTATAACCAGTTCAAACTCTCATTTCCGAGATTGGCTACAGATGGAAAAATATCATATTGTGAATAAATGGAGAGATAACCGAAGAAAACGTCGTCCTTCGTTTGAATAGTTGCTTGTTCGAAACGAAAATTGGAAAATTCAAAAATGAGTTGGGATAATTCACTAACTGCCCCCCTCCCCTCCACTCCCAAAAAATCTCTTTCGGTTCGTCCCTGCCTTTGATATCCAATCAATACCGGCTGAAAAAGTTATATGTTCAATATGAAACGTTGAAATAACATCAATCATCATACAAGAGTCTCGAGATCATACCCGTGTGTTCACCGAACACGCTCGATCGTTACCTAAGCGGTGGGGAGACCGAGGCGTAAGCAGGCAGTCATGATACAATGAGTGGGCAGGCAGCTTCTCTCATGCTGTCTTTGTTTTTGTAGTACGGGGTGGGCCACCAACAGTTTTCTTGATCACATTTCAACATTTTTTTTTTCGAATAAATAAGAAACATTTGTAGGCATCGAATGATCTACTGCGACCTATCAGATAATGAAAGCGATGATTTGATTTGCAATAATTCGCTATGTCACGACGAGTCCTACATGTAAATAGCGAACCACTCATCGAAAATCATGAAACTAAATGTACATATTATTATATGCTTATGTTTTGTTGGCGAGGACGCTCGTTTCATTCAAATTATTTTCGATAATGTTCATATGCTTCACTAGAAATTATTATTAGTAGTTATGTAGTACTTAGTAGTATAGTAGTAGCAGCTTTGTTATTCAAAATGGAACACCTTATATTTTATTACATTTTTCGATTCTTCTAATTGAGCTATATGATTTCGTTGATCAAGCTCAAGGTATACCTATACGTAGAATGTGAAAAATCGAGATTTTTTTTGTATCGAAACTATACAACACCTATATTGATTTGTCAAAATGGCTTACATGTGTCCCTATCCTAACATTCTATTTACTATCTACTGATGCCATTTAATTGAAACAAATACAGGGTGGACCAGATTTCAGAATTATATAAAAGAAGTACTAGTATGCCTACTAAAAAAATATATATATTTGAAATAAACAAAAAAAATATTTCACATAAAAAAACACACTCTAATATTCAACATAAAATAAAATTCAGTCCCACTGGATGTATTTAAAAATATAAACAGTGTGCATGTCACTTCTATAATGGAATATCAACCCGTATATCTAACGTAACTGTTCAATTTTAAAGAGCGATAGATATATATATATACCAACTATGACCAAAGTGAGGTAATCTTCAGTGAAAAACACTGCTCTGGTCATGGACCCACCAACATTTCCGGAAAATGATATTAGGAGGCAAGATAGGTTGAAAATCACTTCGGATTCGAAATCAGGACGTAACCCCTGTACCTCGAAAACGAAGCAAGTTTAGGACACATGTTTATATGACCTTTATTCATCATATTATATCACAAGGAATCATCCCTTGAATTATTTCGGTGTTATTTAGATACACCCTGTATAGATCATTCTTCATTCCAATATAGTTATTCAACATTTTTCCCATAGCGAAGTTCACCAAATACCGATGGCGAGAGCACTATGTTTATTGATTTGATGTCCACCTATAATATATGTAAAACAAGAAGGCACAACTACTAGTGTTCCGTTTCGAAGTACATTAAATTGACAAATTTGACTGCAAAATAATTCAGGCACGCGCCAATATTCATAACGTACACTCGTCTTCAGCGAACATGTCGCGGTTGGATGGTATGAGCGTTCTTATTGCAGCGGTGATCAAGGGAGCTGACACCGTCCATGTGCGACATGATCTCTGAAGACGAGTGTACCTAGCATAGAGAAAATTGTTTGTCTATGGTACCTAGTTACTGCTGCCCGTTTACGTTTCCCCACCGCTTAGGGAACGATCGGGCGTGTTCGGTGAACACACGGGTATGATCTCGAGACTCTAGTAATCATCATGATGTATTCAAAGCGTCATTCAAATAAACGTTCAAAATATGCTTACCCCTCAACAACTATTTAACAGGTTTGATTGTGAAATTGTTCTGTCGTGTTTGATAGTGTTAGGTATATCACACAATCACAAAGAATATGGAAAGTAAAATAATCAATTTTGCACAAAAGATGTTCAGCACGAGTTGTGGTAGGAATAAATGATGTTGTATCGTTTTCATCGTTCCAATGTTAGGAAAATATGGAAAATTGTGTTTGCTCAGTGAGTAATGGGTGTCCCATTTCCGATGTCCTTACAGGATATCTCACATATTTTTATAGATAGAGATTTGCGGATTTTGCGAAGGTTGGCTACTTTTTGGTGGAATTCACGATTCCGCCAACAACATTTTCATAGCCTCCTCGCTATCTTGCATCTTACAAGAAGATGTAGAACCTGTCTTCTTCATATTTTGTCACGTTCAATCCAGTGGTGTAGTCTGATTTTCGAATAAAGCTGTTATTATTTCGATGTAACACAAAGTTATAATTTTATTTCATATGAAATAGCATGTATATTCTTTCATTTGCTTCATTTATATTGATGCTCTGCGCTTCACTAGCCTTCAATTTCGAAAACTAACAATTTCTTACTAGGATATATTTCTCATTGGTCCGCCTTGTATATATGTGGTAATATCTTCCATATAACAAATTTTCATATTTACCTTGTTGCTTACATAGTCTTTATCCACGACTGTTGTATGAAATATTCATAATACATGTACTTCCTCAAGCAAAATGGTAGCCATTTTTCACACCAGTGATGTAACATATCAGGAACTTTAGACCAGTGCATAATGATTATTCACCGCTATTATTTACTGGTGTGAAAAATTACAATCGTTTTGCTTGAGGAAGTACAACAGTTGTGGACAAATAATCAATTCTTCTTAATGTAAAATGAATTATGATAAAACTGTTGTAAAAAATGAATTCATATATCGAAGGCGATAGTAGTCGTCAACAAAGTATAGTATTCTACTCGCATATAATGCTTCTTGAATAATTTACTATTCGTCACACCCTAGTATTAATTTTACCAATATTCGACAATATTCACCAATATGCAGGCTATGTATATGTATTAACTATATGGGTGCTAAGGACCTAATTAGTAGGTGGCTATGAAAAACCAGCAAGTGCATAATGTTTTATAATTCACGTCACCTAACTACCTATTATGGGCGGTCACAAATGTTTCAAACAATGAAGAACAATGTTCCAGGATATCAAAACTACGAAAATTTAGAAACCAACTTATATCCTGGACTATTATTCGCCATTGTAGGAAAAATTTATGAATTCGACAGGTTTGGCAATATTAAACATTTTGCACTCGCTTTCTTGTTCATAACCAACTACTTATTTGGTCCATAGCTCTCATATAGTCATTAAATAGTGGTGAATATTGGTAAATGTATTGAATGTTGGTTTAATTGAAACTAGTGTGTGGTGGAAAGCTGTGTCAGCAACAATAAGGTAGATATAAAAAATTGTGATATTGCAACAATTTACGAGACGTATCAAGAATAAATATGCTGAAATATTGTGAATCATCCAAATTCAAGGCTAATACTCAGAATGTCGAATTAGTGTTCCTGAAAGATCTGTACAAAATGATATCATACTCTCCTGACACCAAAGTTAGAGTTTTGGTGAAGAGGTAAGTTTGGTTAAAGCATATCTTCTTCGAGAAAAAAGAGATGATATCAGATAAAATGATTGAAAAAACGATGATATCTCGAAATTCGAAACACTCTGTAATAGTATATATGGTTACTCGGTTACATATATTTGAAATTTTCTCACCTATCATCCCTCTTTCAGATACGCACGTCGGTGAACCAAACACATTGTATTTAATAACAGATCATTCTGAAAATCTGATTACGCCACTGGTTCCTACGTAAAAAAATGTATGAAAGACAGTTTTTGCTTTTTCTGTTGAGAGATACCTGGGATATAGGGGGTCCCAGAATGCAACACTTTCAATTTCGCCCTGTGTATCTCGAAAACCAACAGGCTATGGAAACTTTGTTTGCTGCATCGTGAGTTTCACGAAAGAGCTAACATTCGTGAAAATCGCAATGATATCGAATATGAGACATCCTGTACAAAATTACAATTTCCATCATTTTGGATCATGGCTATGTACATTATGGTTCTTGAAAAGTAATGATCCAGAAGTAATCTGTCTAATGTATAAGTAAAACTAGAAACTCCTGAAAATAAATTATCGATCAATATGCCCTTGTTGTCTGTTTCCATAGAAACCATCCTTCACCAGAAAATACCTCAATTTTGCGTATTTTTCAATATAACGATGGCGCCAAATTTAGGGAAACCAGCAATAATTGAAGATATTTCTTCTAATGGAGACATTTCAATCATTCTGACACCTATTTCTGATCAAGAATCTCTACCAGAAGTGAGTTTTGTTGATGAACCAGGACAAGAAACAGATATTGATGTAATATTGTTGCCAGAAGAAGCCAATCACATTTCATTGGAGCAAAATCTTGGACAGCTTTTGGTAAGTATAGCTGTGCTAACCAGTTAGGAAACTCTTCATCACTTTATCCATTCAGAAGACCATTATAAAATGATATAGGAATAATCGGTTCACAAAATGATTGATGAATGACATATGTATAATAGTGGTGAAGGTTCAAGTTTCGTTTAGCTGAAATCAGTTATGGAAAATTTGTTGCTATGGCAACCGTTGTCATGGTAACAGGTAAACAGAAAACAAAATCCCGTGGTGAGGAAATGCATGGTTGCCAAGTTGTATCGGGTTTAGTATAGCTGAAATGAGTTATGGAAAAACTGTTGCCATGGCAACGATCGTCATGGTAAGGAGTAAACAAAAACCTGATTCCCGTGGTGAGGAAATGCGTGGTTGCCAAGTTGTATAGGGTTTAGTCTGGCTGAAATCAGTTATGAAAAAACTATTGCCATGGCAACGATCGTCATGGTAACGAGTAAACAAAAATCCGATTCCAGTGGTGAGGAAATGCATGGTTACCAAGTTGTATAGCTGAAATCAGCGCAAATCTTCGACCCTCAAATTTTGTTTCACAAAAGTTCTTGCTAGTATTCAAACAATAACTTGATTCGAATGAATACCCTTCTTTTCAATTTCTTGAAGACTATTCGTCGTTGATTGATTCCCAAATTACTACTTCTCTGACGATCATATATGGAAATAACGTCAGGAAAAAATAGGCTTTGTTATTGAACAGAGCTAGGCAAAATAGTGAGCGACAAAATAGTGCGGAACAAATAGCGCATAAAAAAGGACACTACTTTTTCCAAACAATCTAACCTAACTCGACTCAAATCAACCTTCTTCTTGAAAAAACATATATTTTATATGTTTGAAGACTGTTGATGAATCAAAATATGCGCATCAAGAAAGGTATGGGTGAATCGAAATGAAGGCAAATGGAAATGTGGGTGGGCCTAACGAGATGTTTCCATCTGTATTAGAAAATCAGTACCTGTAGTCTCTCTTCCTATATCCTGCGCGATACCTCGTAATGATTATTCAAAAATGGCTTTGTTTCTTTTTGATTTTGTCGAATAGCTCGGCACGCGAAGGATGGTTACATTGAAGAGTGTTTTTGAAATTAATGAATGAAGAAATAATTCTCCGATACAACTTGGCAACCACGCATTTCCTCACCACGGAAATCGGATTTTTGTTTAATCGTTACCATGACGATCGTTGCCATGACGATCGTTGCCATGGCAACAGTTTTTCCATAACCGATTTCAGCTATACTAAACCTGATACAATTTGGCAACCACGCATTTCCTCACCACGGGAATCGGGTTTTTGTTTACTCCTCATCATGAGGATCGTTGCCATAGCAACAGTTTTTTCATAACTGATTTCAGCTAAACGAAACTTGAGCCGTGGTGAATATACAGGGCTTTCATTTCAAAACTTACCACCCTGCATATCTTATGATCTGCGAAGAATACAGTTTTCGGAAAAAACAGGTCGATTTAGCTTTTATCAATTGCATTCTATTCCCTTCACCCCCAGACACCCCTACTTCGAAATCTCAAAGGCACCCCCTACTTTGAGATACATCAAATTGAAGGTCTATCAATAATCAACTCAACCAGGTAAAAACTAAATTATTCCACATACAGGGTGGGTCATGAGGAACTGAACATACTCCTACCACGAACAGATGCCCCAGAGAGGAGCGTAGCCATCAAAATGTTTTCTCCTCTTCAACAATAATATACAGAGTGATCCGTAGGATAGGGCAACAAATCATATTTTCGTCATGAATTTCCAACAATTTTTTTGCATTATTTGATTTTTTGATGAAACATTATACTTACCCGTTTCTAGGGTCCCTTGATGGAAATTGACGTTAAAGTCATCCTAACAGGGTACGGACAGATCGTCGTCTCCTCTCACTCTAAAGTGTTTGTGAAACAGTTATATAGTTCCATCCTTATTCAATTCTAGGGAAAAACACTAGATTTTTGACATTTGTTGTTTTTTATGTTATATTGAGGTCACTGGCGCAGAGATTCATCAAGTCAAGTAGCTTGATATTTTAACAAACTACTTGACTTGACTTGAAAATCAAACTCGTCCCAACCAACATTTCAAGAGAATTATACCAAGCAGAGAGGAGAAATTACTCGAAGAAGTCGAAATTTACTAATTTCCGACAAAATATTTTACCTTTATGCCCTGAGTAACTTGAAAGTTATGGATTAGGTTGTAAAATACCTGGTTAGGACCTCATTATTTCCTATAAAATCCATCAACTTTATAGACAAATTGCATAGTTGGAAACTACTCATTACAGACTTCAAACATAACTTCATGGTCCTAGTGAGCATTTAGTTATCAATTAGGTAATATTTAACATCAAAATCACCAGTAAAATGTCTTCCAGGCCCTCGAACTATCAGGATATTTATTGGAGTTGAAATTTACCAAATTCTAACTTGATAAACGATCATAAAGTCAGGGAATGATCAGATGGAGGAAATAAGTCGGATTTATACTCTGTTTTGCCTATTTTTGACCAATTGAGTCGAAGGAGTTTCTTAGACTTTTTTTAACCTAATCAGTACCAACTTCATATCCGATGAAGGCAAGATTACCACTATGAAATCCTTATAGAACGAAGTGTCCTTGAGAGAGCCGAGAATACCAAAATTAGTCCTAAAATCATTATCTCAAAGTTGATGACTATTATTGATCCTGGTGCTTTGAGGTCGGCAAATGTTTTGAAATGATCATTAATTTCTGAAAATATATTGAAAACTGGAGACAAGCGCAATGTATGAGTTTTGAATGTTTTATTCTTTATCACCAGTGAGTGGTTCAGGTAGCTTACCGCTTGAACGCTTCTAAAGCAAATCATGATATCTTTCTATACATTACGATGATGTTTGATCATCTAAATCATCGACTTGTTTTGACATTCAAGTTTTACTTCCACTTATTCCATTGGTCAGATCTGAATGCATATTTCAAATAACTTTTATAAAAAAAAAAACAGGTATCAATTATTACACTTCGGTTGAGAACGTACAAAAATGGCAAATGTACTAAAAGTATACTAGAACGGCAACACTGTTCGAGAGATGACAACACGGCGATGGACTTTTCTGATTGGCTGAAAAATGAAGCCTGTCATCCAGCGACCAATTAGAAAACATACCGTGGTGCAGAATAAGAAATTGAAAGCGAACAACGAACATTTGACAAATTATATGATTATAGGGAACATCTGATAATATAAATCCATCAGGTTGACTGCTACTCAAATAATATACTCGTTGATATAGTCTAAAATCCCAATATGGGGAAATTGGGCTCCATAGTCAGAATATACAGAATTTTCGACTATGAACGAAGCCTATTCGCCCTGAAAGTTGAAGATTCTGGAAAATTCGACTTTCAAGTCCAATATGAAACCGACGCCATATTTGTTGGCTCGAATCTTTTTCGCCATTGACGGAAAAAGAAGAAATCTCTACATAGCGACCACATCCTAATGAATAGTAATACAGAAAAGGTTAAATTTCGCATATATGATCATATTCTACCAGTTGATCCATTTTTAGATGGAATTGTTGAAAAATAATTCGAAAACAGAAAGAATATCATCCAGTATTTTTCTACAAATCCAATAATTTCGTGGGCCCACTAATTTTACATGTGTAAAATCAACATTATCACAATGAATTTTGCATCGCAGGTTGAATAACGATTCACAACAACCTCAAATAAGCTAAACAACATGCATATTATCTACACCTTCCACTACTATCGAGTTTTCTTTTGAACGCCATGTTCATAAACTACTAAGTCTCCACACGTAAATGAGTAGGTATAGTCGATCGTGAAACACGGTACATATTTGTTTTCCGAACCCAACCAAATGACAGTAAACCAGGTAGAAATCTTAGTAAACCCACCCATAAGTAGGTAATGAATAACGTCAGAATAACTAAAATCAGACCACTATCGGACTAGAATTAGGGCAATTTCACCTAATTGTTTCCTCGACCTATTGGTCAGGATACCCTAATATCCCTATTCTCGTCTTCTGAATTACTTCCAGTTTTTTCCCCATATTGGTAAATTTGAAGTAAATAAGACGTAATATTCACTTAGGCCAAATAAGTCGTTGACCTATTCTAAGGTCGAAATGACGTATATTATACCTAAAATGTTTGTTGGGGTGGCAAATTACGTACTTGACTTGACTTGAATTTGAGATATTTATTACTTGACTTGAAATCAAGCTACTTGATAATACTTGATCTTGATACGCACTAGTCTCACGGCGTATATTTCTGCAAGCTCGCTCACGCTTTGACAAAATACGGGGGTTCCCCGAGATCCGAGCTGTCTGAATCGATCGCGCAGTCAGTCTTACGATGCCATTTTCATTTCATCAGTTATATACAGGGTGACTCACGGTCGATGGTAGGTTAGACGTTCACGTTTATGATAGGAACGCAACGCAGGATTTTTCTGAAAATTTCGCATCTCACATTTCATCACCGGTACTATCGATCTAATATATTTTCAAAATCACGACGTTGCCGCTTCTATAGAAAAGTAGGAACCACTTTGTTATTTCGAATTGAACACCCTATATTTTATTGCATTTTCAGATTCTCCTTGAAGAGTTGATTTCATCGATACATCACACTCGGGGTATAGCGGAAAAGATGGAGATATAGAGTGCGAAAAATCGAGATTTTTCAACTTCAGGAATTTTTTGTGTATGCGAAATTTTCAGAAAAATCCCGCGTCGCGTTCTCCATAAACATCTAACCTATAACATCGGCCGTGAGTCACGCTGTATAGATACACAATAAAACTGCTGAAAATCAAGTAGCTTGATAGAACTACTTGATTTTTCAAGTACTGGATAAATAATTACTTGACTTGACTTGACATTAAAAAACTTTCGCTTGACTTGAACTTGACTTGATTTCAAGTCAAGTCAAGTCAAGTCAAGTCAAGTAGCTTGAATA